TCCTTAAAATTATTTCGTGCTGATTTTGTGCAGTTTTAAGCTGTCATTTCAATATTTTACTCAAATCAATTAAGCAAGTACGAAAATTGCCCAAAATTCCGTGACTTAGCCTTTTTTAAGTAGATCAATATTTTTTTTTTGTTTGTATAATCCAATGATTAAAAATTAAAGTGTATTGAAAGGGAGGATCCAACTACCAATTCAACTTTGTTGATTTAACTGTCACAATCGATGAAGTGAATAAATATTTTAGTTGGTTTTTCTACCATAGGGCACTTATTGCCCGTGATGGTACATGGCGTTTCCTTCAAACTTATATTAGCTTCAGGAAACGTCTCTCTAGAAAAGAACTTTTGACTCCGAAAATCTAAATTCTCTGTAGAATTCTCCAAATCCTTCGCCAAGATGACCAAGACGAAACGATGTGCAGGTCATATTTCCAGTTCTGGTGAGAAATATTTTTTGCCCTCTTTTGTTATTTGTGTAAAGCCTTTTTTAATCTGCACTTGACTTACGTCTAATCTCAGTTTTGGTTTTGATTTTTATAGGAAATATGATTAGATCCCATTAGAAGAGTGTTTTTCAAGGTGGATATTTCAAGTAATGCCTACCTTCATTAGAAGGTTGAGTGGCTGTAAGGAAGTTTTGATCAGAAGGAACAGCGAAAAGACTGTGGAAACCAGGAGAGGTGTTTACAGTTGTGTATAAGTAAAACTTTACTCCCGTTAGGGAGGACTTCTTTTCCAGCTATTCTTTCACTCAGCGGGTGAATTGAGAGCTGGAAAGGATTCAAAGCATCTGCTTTCGTAGGCCAGCATAAAAAAAAAAAGACGCTGAACAGTCAGTATTAAGGGGGAACCGGTTTAAGGGGGGGTGGGGGCGGAGGTAGAGTCGATACACCAAGGGAAAAGAGCCAGATGTCGCTCCTCACATCCAAGCCTCGCAACTCATTCCAGTAGTTGATGACTCCTGTTACTTTACTGGGTTGTGAAGGGTGGGGTTTACTAACTGTACTGTTTGCACCCGTATAAATGCCCCTCCCCTTCCCTCCCTCGACACACATACCATTGACCCTTGGCTTCCAAGAGTAAAAGGGTAATTGGCAGGGTGATTGAGTTATTGAGAAATCGCTTATTTCCTGTGACTGGGGAGCGGGGGGGTGGGGAGGGGGGCTTTTCAAACCGACCTCCTAATCTATCCTAGCTTGGTAGAAGTGACCGCACATGAATTTTACATTTTGTGAAAGTGAACTCCACCCGAATGCTGTGGAAATTACGAATATTCTAGCTACAAATCGTGCCGACGGTCACCACATACTTTATCTGGAGCCGTGTTTTTAAGATTGGTGTATTATTTTTACGGTTGTTTCATTCAATTTCAAGTCGTGCTCATTACTGCTTTGTATTACTTTCATTGAATTTATTAAAATAACCCCCCATGTAACGCTCCCTTATCAGTAAATGACCCTCCAGAACCAATCAAGATTCAATTGAAAGTGACCCTTCAGCAAAATGCCCTCCCCCCTCCCCCAAAGGTAATGAACGACCAGCCTCCAGCGGTAAGCGGCAAAGACACAAAAATTAAAAGAAGGGCTCTTTATAGTCTAAGGTTGAGTCGCACCTTTGCTGGCGTATATAGCTAAGTGGTAGTCTGCGTAATGAACGCTGCTTGCGAACCCATCGCAAAAGCTGTAGCTCGCACAAGTACACGGGAACGAATGCTCCGCAGGCTTCTTTCCATTAGAAACCGTTGTAGCGGGCAGACGCTACGGGTAGACGTAGTTCTTGTGAATTTTGTGAACAAGAAACGAAGGAAACAAAAGCTGTTTACGTATAATATATAAGCATAAGGTTTTACCTGCTTTCGCCACAAGTTTTATAGACATGTAATTCAGAATATCACTGTGATTTCGCGAATGTGTTTGTACAAAACATTCAGCTTCGTATCTTGTATGTACTTGAAGAGGTCAAGAAAATGCATTCATAATTTGCGTCAACCTCTTAGGTTCTACTGCTGTGTTGTCTTGCTACCTAGATCAAATCTGTTTGTTGTAACCTTCAAAATCAGCTAGTACTTTAAAATAGCTATAATTGTTTAGGAAGGCGTGCTTAGAACATATTATTGGTTTTCCCAGAAGTTCCTTCCCAAAATGCAACAGCTGTAATAATATTATACATTATGGTGCAAATATTTTTTCAAGAGAACACCTTTAGCTTACTGCTGTGAGATGATCACTTTAAATTATTTTTTCCTTCCCGATTGTCAAACTAAAAAAAAATGAAAGTGTTTTTGTAATAAACGTAGCGACTTCTGATAATAGTCTCTTCGTTTCAGTTTCTTGCAAAGCGGGTTCGTCCAGAGGGTCCCGGGTATTAGCTCGGGGGTCGTTTCGCGTAAGACCCGGAAAATTTTTCAGGCCCGAAGGCAGATGTTAAAATAAAAAGCTGTTGAATTGTAACACAGTTCCTAGCCCACAAACCAGTCCATTTTACTTCGTTAACTGATAGATTCATTGTATTATTTTCAAAATTATCAAAACTTTGATCTTGAATGCAAACGCAACAAACACAATCAGCTTTGCGGACCCGAAAAGTTACCGGAACTTTCGAGAAACAGGCCCCTGGGCAAGAAGGGAAGGGAGACTGCAGTGTCCACTGGGCTTGGACAGTTCTTTTAACTTCCTTAACGCTGTACTGGACTACGTTCTTTAATATCCCTACTCATTTCGTGGACCCTGTCTATGCGGCTTGATCTCTGGTCTCATCATTTTATGGTGAACATCCTTGGACAAAACGTATCTTGTAGTACAGGCAAAATATCGATTGGGGTGGTGTGGTGAGAAGGGGAGAGAAGGTGAGGAGTTCTCCCTCTTCCTCCTTCCCCTCCCTCCCTTTCTTCTCTTTCCTTTTTGTTTCCCTGTCCCTTCTTCTTCTGTTTGCGTTTACTTGTCATCTGTTCACCCTATCTTTTACTAGAAACTCTGATTCTAAAGTGAATACCTTATGAACGTCTTGAGTAAAGCCCAGGTCTGTGAATGTCTCCCTCCCCTCCCCTCCCCTCCCCTCCCTCCACCAGGTTCTCCTGTCGCTGTTGCTCGAACTGAAAGGAGAAACCTCTGACAAAGAGTACGACTCCACTCTGGCGCGCGCTGACAATTGAATGTATTTCTGGACGTTATTTGCTTTTCTCTTGAACAGCGGTCGGTTAAAAATGGCTGTTACTTCATGTATCCCCTTCGTATTAACAGCATTTTTTAAGATTAAGTAATCTCTACACTGTGGTCACATCGCGTTAGCAACCTTTCCTATTTCCTCCTTAATTAAGTGTCAAGAGACGCGGCTGTGAAAGAGGCGTCTCAATGTTTGCCTCATTTGCCACATGTATTATCTTTCACGCGTTCAAGGCACGAATTGACGAGGAAATTGAAAACTTCGACAATAAAAACAAATTCGATAATCACCTTGTGCTCTCACAATAATTATTCTTTTCTCAGTTTAATCAATCCTATTTATGACTCAAGAAAGTCCGTTTGAAGTTCTCCGATCTGTTAAGCCCAATAAAAGCTGTCTTCACCGAAGACCAACCAAAGCCGCCGACAGTTTATTTATTGTTTAATTAAAACACTTGACTTCAAAAAGGTCTTGTTTTTGTGTGACATTAAAAAGAAAAATCGCGTTTATGAAAACAACCCTCTAATTTATCGCACGGAAAGCTGTTCGTTTCCAAAGGAAAGCGGTCGCGATTATGGTTTGTAGAAGTGGAAATTGCTTCAAGCTAGAAGACACTGCATCTCTCATGAACCAAAGATGGGCGCAACTAGAGACATGCTACACGTTTTGCTGTCCGCGTGGATGATTTTGTTTTGTAATATATATAAATAACTTAAGGCCAGTTCTCACGATGCACGTTTGCCCACATTCTTTGGATCCAGTTGTTCAAACAAACCTGTGTTTGCGTTGACCTTGTTTGAAGACTTTATTTTTCATCACGTGGACAGAGGAAATTTAGGGTGATATGTAAAGGCTTATTAGCTTCACTTCCTACTTATCTGGATCATAATCAAAACCTCAATAGGATCCCAAACTCATACAAACAGCAATATTCTAATCTTATCTTGCATGGTGCTGTGCGCGCGCGGCCCGGTCGAATATTTTCCTTTCCAAGGCACTCCTGTGGCGCCATACGTACAGCGATGCTATCGACCAGATCAGTAGCCTCAAATTGTTGTAATTTAATTGTCGATTTCATTTCCTGGCTTTTCATCTCTGCTGAGAGAACCCAAAAGCTAAGACGTCCACGGCAGGCCGAGAAAAGACTATGGTCCGTGTCTGCGTTATCGAATTGGCACGAAAATGGCCATACATGAGAAACAGATAGTTGTTATAAGAAGATTCACAATAGTTTACATTTTAAGCGGTGCCAATCTAAATAGAGCAAAATGAAACGAGCCTTAAATGCTTACAAATGACTTAAAACAAACTTCCCGTATAAATATTTATCCATCTGTAGGTGCGAGATAGTGGTGCTATGTACATAAAATGGGCTTTCGAGCAGATGGTCGCTTCAAAAGCTATTGTTAGCTTTCTGCTCAACGTTCTAACTTTATCTTTTAATTCTAATTTGGTTAAGTTAAACGTGTTGGTTAAGAATGTAAATCGCTTCGCTATCGTTAACGCGAATATGGGAAGAAACAATAGCAAACTGCCTAATCCGAGCTCTTTGACTGTCTTCCATACATGAAACAATGGTTTTGCTCACTTGAGCTGTTAGCTGTGTGGTCTTCAAAACACTTAAATGTGTATCGTAAACAAACAGCGAGACAGAGGTCTGATCAGTCTGATCAGATCCTTGCGAGATGGGTGGTCTTTAAAAGGGCGTAACCGAGCCTATATCCGCTAAAAGTTTGCTGAAATACCACTCGGGAAGTTTGTCTTCAGGAGAGAGGTGGTGGGACCGAGCGCAGTTTGTGTACTAAGGAAATCAGTCTTCGAGAGGTCAACATGTATAGTACATACACATCATTAAGGTTCAACCCGTATGCTGCTCTCAGTCTGCCAGCGCAGGGATTTCGACAGCAGGCCGCCGATATGCTTTGTTCGTGTTGTTACTACAATCCTGCCAGCCAAGGATGCTGTTATTCACCGGGTTATGGGTCGGCGTTCGGCGCGGTTTATGGCTACCCAGCCGAGATACTTCCCAAACCGCCTTACTCTTATGTAGCGCTGATCTCTATGGCCATCAAGAATTCACCAGAGAAAAAGGTGACATTGAGCGGAATTTACCAGTTTATAATGACGAACTTTCCGTATTACCAGCAGAGCAGAAGAGGATGGCAAAACAGCATCAGGCATAATTTGTCACTGAACAAGTGCTTTGTAAAGGTTCCGCGCGACAAGTCCGATCCCGGAAAGGGATGTTACTGGACTCTTGATTCGTCTTTCGAAGAAATGTTTGAAGAGGGAAGATTTTGGAGGCGAAAACGAAGGCCTAAGAATTTCCAAGTGAGAGACGAAGACAACGAGATGACCGAAAGTCCGAGCCGAGACAGCGACGAAGTTAACGCAGAGAAAATCGGACAAAAAGCGTCTCATCACGGAAAGTTGAGTTGCGAGAACGAAAACATGAAACAAGGCACTTCCGCCGACAGTGAGTTCTATGGTCATGTTTCCTCGTATTTGTCAAGCGGAGGTGATGATCAAGGACATTGTTTTCCCACGAAACGCAAAGGCCTTCAGTACCCTGAAGAGCGGAACGCGAGTATCGTTACCAAAAGCAATTCTTCAACTTGTAATTTAACATTTAGCATTGAAAGCCTGCTAAAGCGATGACTGTGGAAAACATTTTTGTACAGCCACCAGTAAACTCTCGTGACATGAACAGTGTGAATGGACCTGTCCGCCAACTGTTTAGCAGTCTGAGTTTGAAGTCAGCCGTTCTCGTTTCCCACAGAAACGACTCAGCGGAAAGTTTATTCTCAGCTACCTCTGATCAAAGAAATGGCCTTTTATCCTAAACGCCTTTTAGAAAAATGCACTTACAGCGACAGATTATAGGTCATAAAACTTAGCTCCACAAATTGACTTACATTAAGTCGCGGAGTGGGTATTTTGTTCAAGCCCCCTCATGGTTCTTACTACAAGGTTGGGTTATTTCTCTTCGGAGAACATTTTATGAGAACATGTAATATTACTTGTACGTAAATTTCGTAATTACTCAGTATATTTTTAAAGCATTTTTTGTTTAATGCTTTGGTTGTGAACACTACTGGCCGAATAGCAAAGGAATTGCGGCCAAAAAAGACGATTTGGGGCTTTTGTTCAGGTAGTTTTTCCTGTCGTCGGTACACGAGTGATTTCGAGTGCTTATATTCAATTTGGATCTTGTTTCCTTTCATCATTTCGACAACCCAATCTTAATTCGAGTTTAACAAAATATTTTACACTCAAATGGTTCTCCATAAGTTATCTATAGCGGTGAAGGAGATTGGAAAGTAAACATAATAATAACAAGCTTCAACTTGAAGACGCAAACGAAACACAATAACAAGATAGCGCGACTAAATAATAGCTGAAATACTCACCGCGATTTTAACAACAGACTTGTGATCTTGTGATTTTCACCTGTGCTGATAAACAATAAAATGTGAAAAACAACTTTTCGTGATAACAGTTTGATGACTTTTGTGTGGTGCGTTACTGCGGCACGTATAAATAGTTTTATCAAGAGAAAGGTATCTAACGCTCTCAGCTAAGTTCGAGCATTTCTTGGAATTTTATTTAGATTAAGGGAGCCTTCAGTATACAAATTTATCAGGCAGTCTATACTTTTCCTAGCACTAGTGAACATTATTTTAGGAAATATCACTGGAACTACAAAAATCTGCAAATACTTAATAATCCTGCTATAAAAACAATTCATCGTAAATCTTAGTAAAATACACGCGATTAGTGTAGTCCGTCTTGAGCGAAGCAAATTCTTAGGGAAATACCTATGTGAAAAAATCGAAACTGTGTAGTTCGCGCCTCAGGTCGTGCTAATTTTGACTTTTCAGTTTGGTTTTTCGTGATTTTCCTCGAGCGTAATAAATAGCTGTACCTTGCCCTGGAGAATTATTTCAATGTAGGAAAGAATAAAATCCTTTAACTATTTCAGTAGTCAGCCGGACTAAAGTTCGGAGAGCTTTTACTTTTTGTTATTTTCTTCACATAAATGTTTTGATTCTTTCAAAGACACGAAACACTTAAAAAAAAGATATAGAAGGAATGTTGCACCAGGCGTTGAAATCATATATTGTTTGACAATGTTGCCAGCTTTTGTTGAAGGCAAGGTTTGAAAGAAACTTCCTCTTTTTAATTGCAGACCAAGAATTGAGAATATAGAGTTCGTTTCTTTTGTAAAAGTGTCAAAAATTTTTAATCAATGGTTTCTTTTTAGTCCATTTCCCTTTATGACCGTAAAACCGAAAACAAATTGACCCCTGAAAATCCGTCGACCAGCTGACGAGGTATGACTGTTTATTTCTGTGGGCGACTGAATGCTGAAGTTTTACCATTTAGGTACGAAGGAGTATTTTTGAATTTGGATTTGATTTCACCCATCTGTGAATCCGTTTTCGACAATTTTTCCGCAAAAATGTGTACTTTGCACTCTTGAAAGACTCACAATTCAGTAGATACAATCCTTGTTATCTTGTTTAGACTTCAATTTCCATTAGCGTAAGGAAGCCCGCGACAAATTAAATATCGGTAACCACGATTTGTCAAACCTGTTTACTAATAATTTTATAATTTTCCCGATGACTTTTCATACAACGTTTGAGTTCTAGATGGGGATAATTTACTTTTTAAGGAAAGGTTCCTTCCCAAGTTAACAGTCGTTCTACTTTTAAATCTATCTTTAGGAGCATAGTCGTCTAGAGTTACAGAAAAAACAGTGGTGTCTACACTGAGTTATTTTGGAACATGAAATTGGCTGTTTATGTAGTAAGACGATCACGAAGTTTCGGAAGACTGTAAAAACACTTATCTCTCAGAGATGTGTCACAAAAATTGGGCAATTTCCTTGATTGAACAAGTTATCTCGTCAGATCTGATATCTGAAGCGATTTGGGCCGAAATCAAAACACTAGCTAGCTCTCCCTGCTATCAGCTGGCGAAATAATATGTGTGTTAAATTCCTACCGCTTCTGAGACTTCTTGTCGACAGATTATTGCTGTTTTCGCTCATTATCGGTGAAGTGAATTTTACAACAAATCGATCTTGTTCATGCATTTATTTGTGTTTTCCGCAAGTCAGTCAGAACTATATCGCTGACAATTCGGCATCCAGTGAGGTTCTTATGAACACAGTCCCAATCGAGTTTTGGTTACTCACAGACTACGGTGAAAACTGTTTTTGCAAGTGTTCCATGTCAGAAATTTTTAATTCGTTTTCTTGCTATCAGTAGTTCTCTTTAAGGATGCCGACGTTTCGAGCGGAAAGATCCATAACACTTGTATTTTGAGAGGCTTGTGTCTTCGTTTTGGCTGCTTTAGAGATATGAAAGAAGTTTTCGGCCGTGAATGAACTTTAAATAAATATACAGAAACTGAGGAGTTTTTGTTTTGATGGTAGGTTATCAAGAAGGCATCTTGGCTCAACTATTTTATTTTAGACTGGAGAACAATGTTTCACTGAGGTGATGCGACATTTTGAATATGTTGCAAGTGTTTGAAAAAAAAAAATGAGAGCTGAAATATCTCTCATTGACTTTTATTCTTGGTCTCTCTTCTCGGACTCCGGAATTTTTGTATTTCTTAGTTTCTATTTGGTAATTTAATTGCCGATTTAATTTACTTACTCGAGAGGATATATATGTGATGTGTTTATTTTAGGTTATGGTTTTAACCATACAATTGAAAACTGTTTATAAGGGAGTAATTTTCGCGTGCCTTGACGTTATCTCGAGAATCTAAGCTATGTCGCAAAAGCTAATCAGCGATTTGTTATTTAATTTCTTCTTTGCAGAGGAATTTTCCTATTCTTTCGTCAACCTTTAGTGAGGCGATCAATTTCGTTTTGCAAAATGCCAAAAAGTCACACAGTACAACCGGAGGAAAGTGCTCGTGGTTCCCCGAGGGATTTCGAGTACATCAGGGCCGTTCGATCCCGTAATCTCTACCGATTTTCCGAGAAATCCCGGTATCTCGATGATAGGCCGTCCGATCCCGTATATTTTGGTCGTATATTTTGCCGTCCGATCCCGTGGTCTCTACCCGAGCAATCCCGCTATCTGGATGATTCATAGACCGTTCGATCCCGTAATCTCTACGTATTTTCCGAGCAATCCCGCTATCTCGATGATTCATACCCGACAAATTCCGGTCTTGAATGTTTTCACTTCCGCATCTCGCTTTCAATATTTGGGGCCCATATACTATTCATTGGGGAGGGACATGTTTTCTCACAATTTTTTTTGGCTTGTGGCTCTTAAGAAGGGGAATATATCTATAGGAGTTATTGACCAAGTGTGAGGTCAAGATGAAGACGAATCTTAATGAAAATTTTAATTCTTCAAAAAAGAGCCCTTCGTATGATATATTTTGCTGATAGACTCAATTCCTTTTTTTGTCGATGCGAATATTCTGCCTCTGTCGTTTCTAAATTATGAGTATGTTTCCAACCAAGAGAGGTGTTCCAACCATGTTCCAACTTAATGCATGAACTGATTAATAATAATAACGCTCCTTTAAATCAGGCTTGAAATTATTAAAACCTCCAGCATACAGACATACAACAAGCGATCATACATCTCCGGAAATTTTTACTTACAAAGCACTAGGTTAGAGATACATAAGCGTTCTTTTTCCCGATTTGGCGTAAAACTGTGGAATGAGATACCGTGTAGCTCGCGAAATCTACCCAAGAAGGAATTTAAAAGAGAAATTCGCCGAATTCTCTTAGATATTTTAGGAAAAGAACATGACCATATAGAAACACCCGTCAGCATACAAATAGTTTGACTGGCTAAATAATTAATTAGGTCTTTAAAGTTTCAACTAATTTTTCTCTCAAACTTCTAACGTTATCGTTTCCTTAATTCCATCTTTATGTAATGGTATTTATTTAAAACAGTTAACCCTCGGTTGTTCGTCTGCCCCGCCTAGATTAGCTTTTGCTACTTGTTGGTCAGCGTAATTACTTAAGTTAAATTCTTTCTATAAAGTTTTGTTTTTGTTGTTGTTGTTAGGTGGTTGGATAATGGTCTCTAATATATGAACCGAGACGAAATCGAGGAGAAATATCCAGCTCTCTTGACCGAAGAGTTTAAAATCACATTCAATGACTATTTCACCACCAACACTGGCAAAAAAGATTATCAAAGAATAGAATAAGTGGCAAAGGGACCTCAAGAAACCTTATAGCGTATCACAAAAAGGCCCGAATGGCCAAGATATAACTTTTCTGTTGCGGGTCCAAAGCTCGGGAAATCCCGAACAGGCAAGATAGGCCTATTTTGTCCACTTGGGCAGCTGATTGTAACACTGGTTTTGCTTTATATGACCCGCTTGCGGAACAAGCCATGAAATAGATTATTATTCATCCAAAACATTTCCTCGTTTCTTATTGGCTCAAATCTCCCGGCTAATCCTTCATTACCAGCTAGCGTTGACCAAATTTGGAAGACGATTGTAATATCCAGTAAAATGACGTCAGTAGTACAGGCCATTAGGGAGCTTAAGCAACAGTGTTTTTGAGCGACGGACGTCAACCGGAAGTGGACTTTTTGCATCATTGGGGAGCGGTTTCGTTGAAACTCTCGGGTAAATCGTCTTAAAAAGAGAAAAGA